ATCTCCATTGCCTGGATTCTTCGCTAGATGGTCATTGGATGATTCTAATAATCTGGTTTACTTTTTTAAATATTTTATTTGATTTGGATGATTATGAGTTTGAATCTTAATTTAAACTATTTTAGGAATCAGATCCAGGCGATTATGCTTCATCGCTTAAGAAAATGGTATTTGTGATTTTGATTTCAGGAATTTTGGTTTTGAAATTATTAAATTACCCCTTTACAATATCTTTCTTTTAAAAACAGAACAGATACTAATCCAGTAGGTTCTTGTTCTTCATACGCAAATCTAACCCCTAATTCTTATTGTATTCGAATCATCTTATTAATGTGATTAATTGGAGACCTATAGTGATACATCTTGTTTTTCTATGAGTTCACAATAATTTTAATCTTTTTATCCAATCCTTAGCCGCCTAGCAAGTTCTTATTAATTTTGCTTTTAAATGTTTTCTTAATTTTTTTCTTAAACTTTTAATAATTATAATTATTAATTTACTTTTTTCTAGACTTTTCTCACCCATATTCTTTGGTATTTTTCTTTCTTTGTTTATTATTGCGGCTCCAATAAATACTATGAGGTGATGATAAATTAAAAACTTGTATCCACACCCAATCCAAATGTTTCTTGAAATTTCTTACAAATAAATTCAGATTGGAATATATTTAAAACATACCCTACACAGTTATTACAAACTCTATTCTCACTAGTTAGAATTTATCTATATTTCCAAGTAGATTTAGGATAGGCTTATTATATTATTCTTCTGTTTAGAATCAATCAAATCAAAATTTAAATTCTTAAATATGGATTTATTTAGGTATATGTCAGCCAAAATTAACAAAATTATAGTCCTTTCGCTATGGGGTTCTGAAAGATATGAATTAAATAATTTAATAGGTTCGACTGAAGATAATTATTAAGCAAATTCAGCTTGAAATTAAGAATAATCAAGAAATTATTTATTTTCAAATTTTCCTATTGGTTGTTTAAAATCAAGTAGCAATCCATCCTTTTATTTGAAGACAAATCTAATATTTCCAATTGCTATGTTATTTTTTCTAAAAAAACTATCATCAGTTACATAGCATTCTATTGATTTTTATTAAAGACCTGATAATGAAAAGTATAAAAGAAAATCATCCAAAAGCATTTTATAATCTAGTTTGAGGTAGGGTATCATATTAGTAATATATTTGAATAAAATGTTCTCAAATGCCATATAATCTTATGGATTACTATAAAAAGAAACTTTGTAGAATAGCATGCTAGTGTCTAAAGACGCTTATTTAAAATATTCACTATAAAACATTCTTAATTTGGAATAATATTCATCATCTTCGTAAATATCTAAAAATTGACGAGAAAGTTTTTATTAATCAGCTCTATGCATAATTAAAGAATATAAAAAGTAGCTTAAAATAGGTGGGAGTTATAAAGGTGCAGATCGTTGAAACCCTAATTAAGAAAGCTAATAATATAAGGCTTCCAATTAAAGCACATCCTAATAAAAATTTTTATGAAATTGTCGAAAATTTACATCTCCTTTTCTATATTCGTAATTATTATTTAGATCATCCTATTATCTATTTGTATTTGACTAATTTTATGATGGCATTGACTTACTACTGCTATCATTAAGTTATTTCTGTTATTTATCGTTAGTTTAAATTGGACCATCCATTTAAGTCATATTAAACTCTTATAATCTATTTGAATCTTAAAAATGTTTAGAAACTAAATTAGATAAACTTCTTTTTCTAGAGTTTAAATTTTCTCTAAATGATGGTGTATTTGCAGTTTTTGAAGGAAGTGAATATAGAATTGATATTAGGTCGATTGAACAGCTTCTTTTTATCTTAGTCATAATAAACCTTTTTGCCTTCTCTCGTTTAGCGTAAGAATTGACATAGTTTGCATTTAGCTGATGCATAATTTAATATGGTTATTAATAATAATAAATTGTAAGCAACCCACTTTTATATATTATACTAAAATAAGTAATATTATTAGCGCCTAAAAATGCAACAATGTTCATATACAAATTGTTGAATCCCAAATGAATATCCTAATGATGCGTTTGAAGATAATGTTGCAATTCCAGTTTTCATTTTGCTGAGTTTAGAGATTCACAATAAGTAGATTATATTGTGAACAATCAAGGACGGAGAGGAGCTTATTAAAACTGGAATCTTCCCATCCATATATATGCCAAAAAACTGGTTTACTCCTCAATTAATGTATTCAATAGGCAATTAAGATAAGAAATCTATCTTTATATGATGGTGTAGATTTCCACCCTAGAATTGAAGACTTGAGTGTTTTATATTGCAGTATATAAACACAATTCTCAATCCTGATATTAATCAAAAAGGTAAACCCAAACCTTACCCTCAAAATCCATTTTAAACCCTAATCACGAAATATTGATCCATCAAATTCGAATGAATCGACCGTATTTGAAATTATCTACCTTCAATTGTATAAGATGACAGTGAAAAAATGTATTAATTTGTTCCTGGAGAAATGTAGCCATTTAATTGTTATGCATGTCTTAATCTTTACTAACGTCTGCTTGTCTTTAATACATTCACTAACGCCACCCCAACAGCAGTAATTCATTAAATGGTATGGGAAAAGAATTCAGTATACTAAGAATGATAATATTTAAGAATTCAGTATACTAAGAGTTCGAATATCCAAAGTTTCAAAATGCTTGGAGGTTGAGATCCTTGTGTGTGTAGTATATCCAGTTTCAAATCATTGATTGTATCTTATATCAAGTAAAGAACAAAAAAAATATTCTTTGGATTTTACAATTAGTATTTATATTAACTACATTTAAATTTAAGTAATTACTACATTAGTTAATTATTAAAATTAGATATTACAGAATACATTAAATAAAGTTAATTGAAATAATAGACTTCATATAAGCTATTATCATTTCTCTTAATTATCTTCATCTATTGTAACATCTGCTTTATCAATTTTTGAGATGCCTAAGTTTTATTAGGCTAATACTAAGTATTCATCATTATAATTCATTTTATTGCTTCTATTGAATAATGTTCTCTGTCGAAGTTGATTAAGCCATTACTTAAGTTTTCATCTTCCTATTCATCTTTCTTTTCTCCAAGAGTTCATCCTAATTATTTAGAGATTCTATAATTTATTTCTCTATATTTTCTTATACTTTATCATATTCTTGGAGCAATTCATTCATATTTTGAGTTTGATTAAGTTCATTATTCTATAATTCTTATTAGATTTTCATTTCATTCACCTAAGCTCTTTTATAGACACTAAATCTCATTCTTCCCTAGATTTTCGAACCTTCCTTCGGAAAGTCGATTAAATTTTATTTCTTTAATAACTATATAGTTTCAGGTCTGCTAATTAAAAATTATATTTTTTCTAGGAAATACTCTCTCATAGCGCACTTTTAGTTATCAAATATTTGAACAAAGTCTGAGTAAATTTCTAACATTTCATTTACATGATCTAAATTATAAATTTTCTCATGAAATCTAGCTTCTAGTTATAATAAAATTTTTAAAGTGTTATTATCTATTGCCATTTTAATTCTAAAATAATATTATTATTATTTTACTTATTCAAAAAATGAAATAAATTACTTATTGTTCCTGCTTTCAAAATAACAATATATAATATATAAATCAAGTATTACATTTTCTATTAATTAAGGCAGTTTTAGATTTGTAAAATGTTAAAATAACCATAATTCTATTTATATAACAATTTAAATTCTTATATTTTTAATTGCTAAGTTTAAAAGAATAGCACTCATAAATTATTCATTATGACAGTAAATAAGGATTATTAATACGTTTACTCTCCTAATGCTCCTCTAACTTAAAATAACTAGTTTATTTTCTTTCCAATTTTCCAATTTATCTATTATGTTATTACTATTATTTACTTTCTTCTTACATCTTTCACAAATAAAGTATAGAATTAATCAAAAATATAGAAAAATAAAAATACTTGATAGTTATCATCAATTTCAGAATGCCAAAATCTTTAATTAGAATCTATTAAATATCAAAATACTCTACACTCTCTCAACTAATAGTTTTGATAAATTAAAAGCTTTAGAAATTGAAAATATTTAAATCAACTTATTTATAAAATTATAACTAATTTAATTACACTAAAATTTTTAGTAAAATGAAAGAGGAAGCATCTCAATATTCCATTGTTGGAAGTAAGAAATTGCCACAATTCAGATCTTTATCATGCGATTAACCACCTATAATTTATGAGAAAAACAACAAAGTGGAGAAAGTTTGTGATGAATACTTGATATAGAAACTTGAAAGATTACAAATAAACAATGAGCCAAAGTATGATAACGAAAACGATTGTTTCAAATACAGTGTTGCCAAGTCATTGCTACTGAATACTTAAACAAGATATTTTCAAGGGGACTTATTTAGTTTTTGTTATCTTTGTAAGAAAATAGGACATGTACAAAGACAATGTACTTCATAAAATCAGGAGTTCTGTATTTATTGTCTAAAAGAGGATCACTATTCACATCATTGTAAATAAGTTGCTTGTTTTAAATGTCATCTTAAAGGACATAGAAAAGCTGAATGCAAAACAAAGATCTAAATAAATTATAGACCTATATTAGTAACTTTAAAACATTTTGATTAAATCTAATGTTTAAATTGTTTGTAATTAGGGCATATCACTTGTGAATTAAATTTGGATAATGACTTTGTCTATTGATAACTTTGATTAACTATTTCAATAAATTTTTAAGTCATCATATAAATAAATTAATAATGAAATAAATTTAGAATAGGTTGCGAAAAAGAACATATCTCTAGGATGTCCATAATCAAAATAATGAAAGGAATTCAACTGCTTAAAGATGCTCAACTTCAATTCATAATTCTATGTAACCGTTAATTCAGATTCGATAGAGATGTATGCAGATAAACTCATGCTATGACATTTCATGTATCCAAACCAAGAGAATAATCACTTTCAGTTGAATCTTAAGAATCGGATTAGGAGTTTTTACAAACGCATAGAAGGGCGACTACTAATATCATTAATCCACAAAAAAATTATAAGGCACTGCAATAGATATCATATATAACGCAAATAATGATGCCAGACTATGAAAAAAACCTCAATACAATTTCAGTGATCGAGTATTATACATATAATTTATTCTCAGAAGCAAAGCCTATTAGATTTAACTTGCAAATTAAGATGATCAAAGGTAATAACAAATTCTCAATGATGGAGAAATATGGATTGATTATAAATTTGAAATTGTATAATTTAGATTGTAATAATGTAGCATCCAATTGAACTCAAGTAAGATTTTGTAAATGTGTAAAAATTGAGATAATTGGAATTTTATTATTATAAAATCAGATGTTAAGGTGAAGCAGTACCATTAACCTTCACGATGAATTAGTCTGAATAAACTAAGTTTAAAGTATTTTTATCCACAACCAATCCATTTCCATCAAAATTTTCATGCGAACAAATCTACTAAGTCAAAACTTGGAAATACAAAAGCAAAGACTACAAACAATTTCGATAAAAATTTATCTTTATTTCCTTAGTTTGTGATTTAGACACAACGATTAAGATCTCATTTACTTTTGGTTCTACTTAAGGAACTTAAACCATTTACAAAAGCCCAATAAGTAAACAACAAATCAAATAAAATTTAATCAATTGCGACTTAACTGCATCATAGATAATCAAAAAAAGAAAAAAATAAATGCTTGAATTATCTAAGGGAAGGAACTTAATCTAAGAGAATATCCTAAATGTAACAATCTAAAATGATGAATGCATTAAGTCCCAAAAATAACTATACAAAACCCTCTAATAAAAGAAATTTCATGATGTTGTTAAGAAGAGAAAACAATTAGAAATCAATACTTAGGGTTAAAAATAAATCAATTATTTTTCAAAGGAAATAACCCATCTGTTAAAAAAATTAAAATAATAAAAAGAAATGGATCAAAATCGTTACTTAAAATCAGAAATTCAATTTGAAATGTTTAGATTGATTGCATACTTATAATTGATCAACATAATATATGAGAGGCTCAAACACCAACATAAAATTATACATCATGTTTAAATTATTCAAATCAAAATGAAGACCATTTATTTTAGAGCTAAAAGAAATATGTGTAGATTGAAAGGCAATACAATCTTTGGAAGAGTTCATCTCGACGTTAAATTGTAATAATATCTTCCTATTACTTTAGTTGTCTCTCAATGATTGCTAATTAGATAAAAAAGAAAGTCCGCATTTAAAATATTAATAAAATTTAACCCATTCTAACTTAAAGATCATTACTATGGAATTTTAAAGAAAAAATTCACCAAACTTCTAAGAATTTACAAATTATTAAGGAGGCTATATATAGCTTTGTCTTAAGATATAGAGTGTATAAACAATTTTTGAGGTCTATATTTGAAAAAAATTTTGATTAAAGCTGCTAAAAATACATATCTAACTAAGATCTTAAGATCTAATAATAATTTGATCTTTGGCATCAAAATTCAAAATATATGATGTATTTTCAATTTCTAAGTAAAACCTTTGCCAGTTTGTATGGTCGATAGAAATTAAAAGCATTTTTTACTATTTTACGCAAATAGAAATAATCGAACAAAATCTATAGGAAAGACTCACTTTTGTTAGTCTTTAGTAAAAAATAAGAAAATAATTAAATTATCAGTTTATTTAAAGTTCCATTGTAGGATGACTTCTAGCAAATGCTCCCAATCTTGTATGAATAAACAAAAGGTGGAGCTCCTTAATATTGCAAAGATTAAATCAGAAGACCGTTTAACAAATTATAATTATGACTTTTAAATTTATTTAAGTTGCTATAAAAATATTTAATAATAAGAAAAAATCAAATTATTTACGTAATTAATTTAGCTATAGACTTTTATGTGTATCTTCTGGGTGATAGTAGTAACAATGATGCTTGACATGTATCAATCGATTATTTCTACATTCTCATCAGCATTCTTCCTAAAAAGGATTTTATTATTAGTCCTACAAACCCTATACTTAAAATAAAAATAATTAGAGTTTGCTGATACTTTGAAATTTGAATATCAAATTGCTCTTATGCCATATCAACAATCGAGGAATAGGCTGTAATAATGAGATCTGTTCCATAATCTAAATAGGCAATATGCTCAGAAGTTTGGGCAAAATTAATAAAATCAGCTAGACTATTATTTACATATCCTTCCTAATAAAATTAAGGGTATTGTTGAATAATTTTATAAACTTAAACAACTAAAGATTTGAGTCCTTACTAATAATATGCCAAAATTTATTCATTATACATTCCAACTAATGTGGATTGACAATCTAGAGCATATAGATCATTGCAAATAGCTTATTAATTCATGAATTCTATTTTATAATTAATTTTGTCATCTGCCAATGAACCAATGATGTTATTATCATATTGGAGAAAAAAATCTTATTCTGTGCCTTGGAGTACTTAAGAGTAGTTCTAAAATTCCGATTATGTTAAGATATTATAATATAGGGATGAATTGGATAAGGTTTTGTAAGCTACCATATCAGCATTATTCAATACATTAATGAATGATGATTAAAGGGTCTAATATTTGAAAAGCAATTCTAAACCTGATAATAATTGATCAGTCAAAATAAAGATGATAAGGAATATCACCAAAAAATATGACATTATAACTACTAAATCAATTATTAATAAGATGATGTATCTAATTTATTGTATATTGGATGACTTCAATTTTTTGATTAATTTATTTTTTTCTTGTTTAGCTCTATTTTAATTTTCAATGTAATTAGTGGATGCATTTTCAGAATAACCACCGTTTAAGAAATACTTTTCGCTATCAAATATTTTCCCTTCAACTATGAAATCTATCATCATCCAATCATAAACTGATTTTTTAAGAGTAGACGCAAGAGCCTCAAAAGATTCTTGTTCCTAAGCAAATTATAATTGATTAATATCCAATAATGCCATGTACAACTTCTTTTTGTATTTCCCTAACGTTGAAATCATTGGGATTTAAGAGGATGATAGAATCAAAACTAAGAGGAATATGATCACCATAAAGATTATCAATAATTATTAATAATACCTTTCTTTATCAATTTTGTTATCGTAGCAAGAATCAAAAGCCAACTAAGGAAGCTAGCCAATCTCCTTTAAATTCGCTACACTTGATTAAATGAGTTGAGTTTATAATTCATAATTAGTTGCAAACTAATTTTCAACAACTTTATAAAATTGGGCTAAGGATTTTTAAATTGTTTCTGTAATGGATAAATTAAGCTTAGTACTGTTGTCAATATCATAAAAAATTGAAAGCTATATTCCAATGTCATTGATTGTATTTTTTTAGGCATTGCTAAAATTTATCAATTAATCAACTTCTTAAAATATTTATTTATCGTAGAATAAATGTAATTAATCAAAGTTTGAAATATTAAAGTCATATGAATATTAAATTCGAAATAATCCATGTGTGATAAGAGAATAGGTTTTTTGAAATTTTAGTAATATTTAGATTAAATCCATGCAATCTCCATAATCATATTAATTCCAAACTGCAATAGAAACAAGTAATATATATGCTATAACTAAGAGTAATGTAGCAAATAGTATATAATTCTAAAAGTTATATGAATTTGGATATTAAAATTCACTTATTTTTTGATTGATGGCTTTATAATTTTCATCAAAATTCTTCAGTTATATCAGATATGAGTCCTCATTCTCCACTTTTTCTCTATCTTTATCTTAATTGCTTTGTATGACTTTCTGTTCCAATTCATTGTAAAACTTTTGTTATTTATTTTTTTGTGATAATTTTAACACTATTTTGCTTGCAGCCTCTTTTTCTGATACTTTTAGATGATCAAATGGATTTTTTCTACTCTGTTATTCAAATTGATTTTCTGTTCCATTACTTTTACCACCAAATTCATATAATTAGAGACTCTTCCTATTCGTTTAGAGTAACTTGTTTTATTCATCTTTAGCAGATGTGATAATAAATTGATCAGTAAGAATATTTTGTTCACTAAAACAATATTCATCTTATTTTGATGGATGACTCAAAAATTAGTATAAAGAGATTTGATCATCTTGATCTACTTTTTCACTGAAATTGCCTTGCAAGCTCATTGAATCATCTGAGATCATTTACAGTTAGGATAAATTTTAAGATTATTTGATGTTAGCAGATCCTCTATTTGTATTTTCATTTTTATCTTATTTCAATTACGCCTACATTTACTTTAATGTGTCTCTTAATTATTTACGATATCCTTTTTCCATACTAGCAACTTATTATTCATTTACAGTCA